TTTATGTAGCTGCCATATACTTGGGACCTCCCTCTTGCTTGAACAGCCAGTCACTGTTGGCATCGACCATGAAGTTGGTTATATTAAATTCATTTGACGCCCCCAAGCCCGTTCCGTTGTCGTTGGACGCGCTCATCTCGGCTCCTGGCGGCGCCGGTGTTCCATTGACGCCAGAAATATGTTCACCCCCAAACGGGAGTCGAGGCACGTTGAAAAAGTCGAATACGTCAAGATACTCAAGCTCGTTGGGAGCCGGTGTCCTCGCGGGTGTGACGCTGGGTAACCTACTCAGAGCACTAGGCTGCCTGGGCTGCCGCGAGATGAGGAAATCCAAGTCAAATGCTGTGCGTCGCATATCAGAAAGGATTTTGACTGAACTGGGCGTAATCCCATCACCTTGTCTCTCGCTATCGTGATGCTCATCCAAGACTCTTTGCAGCAACTGGGAATACCGTGCCGCAACAGGCCAGTAATGACCCATTTCACGGAGACTATCGACGAAGAACGGAAGCTGCGGTGAAAGTTTATGTTCCACTGTTGAGCCATGAACAAGGAGCAGACGAGCCGAAACCCAGAGAGTAAAAGCAAATGGTGGGCCCAACTTTGCTAGCATCCCATTATTCACAACAAATTCTCCGAGGGCAGCCACATTTTCAACTGCACCATGACATCGTTGTGACGCGCTATACGATGGAGTGAATATGGGTGACCTCGTTGTAGGATAGGCAGCTGACGAGTGAAGGCGGATAACGGCCGTATGGTAGGTGGCATGAAGCATAACCCAAGCGCAGTTGATGCTCTTACTCCCTGGATGGAACAATTTTGCCATATTCCCAAATTCACCGGGAAGACTGAACTTCCAGGATGTCAGCATGTTGTCAAGTTCCTTGTACCGCATCTGCCATTGTTCCACATCGCTCAAGGCACTAATGTCGACTGGCTGTTTAAGAAACTTGTGTATCTTGGATAGAATACCGAGGATTTCGATGTAGTAGGCGAATGCACCCAGGTTCTCTGGCTGATCGATATCATGACCGGGTGAACCAGAATGTAGGTCAGTGCTGAACCATCGGGTGTCGACCTTTTGATTCTTGATCCACAAGTCATCGCGGCACGGTAATGTCCTGTCAATCTCCTTGTCGTCCAGAGCAAATTCAAAAGCAGTTGCAAGAGTCGCATATCTGTCCAGAAGATATATCATCCAAAATAGACGCCGTCTCGCCTCTTCCTCGATAAAATCCTTGGGTTCTGAGAGCGTCATGGCTCGAAGTGTATATATGGAAAGGTAATGAGGTGACACAGTCGATGAGGTGATTTCAACAGCGAGACCAAGCTGCACTACAGAACGAGTGATCAAAGCCATGATATTCCACCCTGGTGGACCGTTACTGCTCCCACAAAGATCAAGCGCCAGGATAACGAGAGCTTGTAACGCCTTGACCGAGGAGTTTTCCATGCCATAAAGCAGAACGCGTTCTTTGGAAACTCGGTGATAGTGCTCTCGCCGCTCCTCTGTTAGCCTAGCATCCGTCGAGTAGCGCATTGTGGTTGCAACTATGGCGTGGAGTAGAACTCGATCCGTTTCATCGAGGGCAGATGGTCCAAAAAGGCTATCTAGAGTTGTTTTGCGGTGCAAAATGGGGCACCAAGTATTGATATGTTTGAAGTAGAGATCAACAAGTGCATAGAGAAGGTCGTAAGGCGGCATGTCTCGATCTGGGGTCGATGTGCCTGGAGCCGACGATAGTGGGGCCGTGGGTGAATGAATGTTAGGTTGCACAGACGTGTAATAATCTTGAGTAACAGCAGTATGTTGCATGGGCGATAACTGGGAGGCTGCTGCCACACCTGGCATCGACGCCTGGTTCTGACTCTGGTAACCATCGTTCATTCTAGGGGTATGAGCAACGTTGAAATCGAGACTCTGTGTGCTCGGGGCAAAGTTGGAGCTGGGTGCCTTCTGACCAAACATGACAGGATCGGTTTGAGGTGTGCGGACTGGTTCTGAAGGTCGGAGGAGATTTGGGTGAGTATCCCGTGGAGTTCCTTGGTCGCTCGGAAGACTTGGGTTACTGTGCCGAATACTGGCAGCTAAGACGGGATTTGTGTTTGATGCCAAGTTACCATGGAGAATCTCAGCATGGGAGCGCAATATCTCCTCAAGCTTGTCGAGGCGCTGCTCAAGCTCGCGACCATAGCCCGCTCTTAAACCAGGCTTCTTGCGTTCTTTGTATTCGCATATAGCGCCATTGCGGCTACACCAGCCGCACGATGGTTGCCCACGATCACACTTAACCTGCCCAGTGAGAAGAATCAGTATTGGTTGGCATAAGCAAAACACCGAGAGACAAGATCGTGTCACGGAGGGCATACCTTTCTTTGCTTACATAGCTCACATCTGGGCACAATATTGTTAGTCTCGGTGTCGGCGACAACCTGTAGATTTGAGGACAATGTGGATTGTATTTGTAACGTGGTATAGTAGTTGAGATTTTGTGAGGGCGGGGAGCATGAAGGATGAGGCGATGAAGTGGCCTCAGATGGTGGCATGGTGTTGATAAGAGAGTACAAGAAATGTAGATAAGACTCCAACATGATTATCAAATCATGGACTTATCAAGAGGACAAAAGGAAATCTTATCAAGACATGGACTCAACGAGCGTGCAAGGCAAGGTACGATTGACAAAGTATGTAGAGGAAGCGAACGGAGACAAGTAAAAAGCTGCACTTACGAAACCGAGACAGGACGCTTTCTCTTCCCATTACGACAGAGTGTTTCGTGGTCGCCGTGGTCCTCATCCTCGCTAGGGAATTGGTTGGCTTCATCACTGTCTGCTTCTGTAGAGGGCGGGCGATTTCCAACCGAGCCCTCGCCCGACATTTTGCTGGCCCCGTTCTGCATGGCTGAGAGTAAGTAAGATGTTGGGCTTTAGGTTCCCTTTTCCCCAGAGCCCTTGCCGCTGGCCGTGTGTCGGTACGATGCAAGAACGAGCTCACCAGCGGTCGTGTGAGAGTCGATAATAGTGAGGCCGAACAACAGGGGTAAGCTCAGGCAAAGCAAGCATGCCACGAGATGATGGATAGCAAGTATGCGCGCGAACGATGAGTCCGCGTTCGTTGCAAAGGTGACCTCGCGATCCGGGATAATGGGCAGCGGGATCAGGAGAATGATCGCCCGAGGATAAATAGGCCTGCCCCCGTACTAAGTACTAAGAGAATGGGTGTAGGACCTGGGCCGCAGCTGGGGAGTTATTGTCGGGGTAATGCAAAAGATTTCGACCAATACCGCGAATTACCGAAAAGCACGAATGCTCGCTGTTAATACGTATTATTTATGAGCAGCTCTGTTCCGCTTTGCCTATCACCTGTTTTTCTCGCTTTCCTCCTCGCTTTCTGCTGGCTTTGTGCCTCGGACGGATGGGAAGTGGCGCCGTGATGACCGGACCAATTTGAGGTGGGCCGAGGTGGACTCTGGGGCTAAACAAACTGCCAGAACTCGGTTTCGTCGGTGTACTTCCGTTGGCCAGGCCGCAGAATAAATAAATTATCAGGAGTTCCAACACAGATATGAGAGACTGTTTAGGATATCGATTTATTTTTGATAATGAACCGGAGATCAAAGATGGTGAGGGAAAGGAGAGACATAGTTTGCTTGCACATGCAACAGGATATCCAACTTAGGCAAGTTAGTCTAGTAGGTAGGATGGCCATAAACTTTCAAGTAATGCGGAGAGAAGGAGCTGATCTCGCACCGCACGCGTACCTGCCCAAACCTACTTACCTTAGTCTTACAAGCTCTTTCCTCAAGGGGTTGAGGCGGGGAAATCAAAGAAGCGGTATAATCTGATTTGTGGAATGAGGTATACAAGTGGATCATCTGCCAAATTCATTGCCCCAGACCGGATGTAGCACATGCTTTACAAGTTCACCCATGTCAGTGCAGGATTGTTTGTTCAGCCTCAGAAGCGGTGACTGTTTTTGAGCTCATCAACTTATATCAGGCTCAATGACCTTGATAGAGCTGGCGTCCATCAGAGCACAAGCGGCAGGGAATATCTTAAGCTGTCAGACGGAAGTGTCCATGTCTCCGTCCATAGGTATACCTTTATAAATATACCTAATGTTGATCGCTTTCGAGCCACGACTGGTTTTTCGTTTTATCCTACCCGCTAACGTAATTATGTCCTCTGTACAGTTGCCGACTTCTTATGCCTTCCCTACCTTGTCACCCCGCAAAGACCGGGCTCGGCTTTCAAGAGCCTCCACTGAACGCGAGCTTAGGTCTACAGTACCAACAGCTGACACAGACTTCAGGTATGACTGCAGATAGTAATAGGATCAACAACAGTGCTCAAAAGCAAAACCCCACTCAAAAGAAAAGAAAAGAAAAGACAAGAAGAAGAAGAAGAAGAAGAAGAAGAAGAAGAAGAAGAAGAAGAAAAAAAGAAAAAGGAAGCTCACAACTTCCAACTGCCCCAAAAAATAAACCTACCTAGGGTGAATGTTGGGGACCTATTGAGCCACCTCTGGGCTGCGTGATCATGGCCTAAGGTTGCCCTCAAGTCTTGTGGAACCCCGACGACGACCGAGAAAATATGGAGATGACCCTGTAATTGGGGAAGGTTCCATCATCAACACCAACTTCGGTGCATCTTAACCCGATATCTGCTTTGCCAGAGGGAATTCCGGCGCACGTTTTGCCGGCTTCTGCCCTCGGAGTGCTATCACAAGACTTACTGGCCAGCCAGTCATGAACTTCACGACTAAAGCCATTGGCTCCTGTGTTCCATGATCCGCGATCGGTTACAATTGTGTTTTCAAGCCCACCTTGTAGTGCCACAAGTGCATCCTTTGTAAATAAGTCCATCCCCAGCTCGTAGCCATCCTGTTTTCTTCTTCATTCAACGCCTTGGCCAGAATTCCTGCGCATCTTCTGAGGAGTAATTTTACGCATATCACAATTCATTTCACTCTCTTGACTTCTCTTGGATTGTTCACAATGACGTCTGTTAAGGACTTCCCCAAGATCAAGGCTGTAAGGTCATTCATCATCGGTGGTGTTGGATCAGGTATGCCGTCTCGCCTCCCGCACAGTAAAGAAGAACTGGCGGGGAAAGAATTTGAGCTGTGTTAACGAATTGCGAAACAGGTGGTGATTATCATAATGTTAAGGGTGGCCACTGGTACGCTCGCTCGCCTTCCTTCTACATACCTGGCCTTGATCGCATCACTCACATTCTATTTATAGGCTCATCGACAGCGATATCTCAACACCAGCTTCAAAATGGGAGAAGTACAAAAAGTCACGTACTAGCTGGGGCATCAACGTTCTCGGGTCATTCCTTGTCGAGATTGAAGCTACAGACGGCACAGTTGGTTTCGCAACTGGTTTTGGAGGTGAGTTGAACCCTGTGTCAAACCAATGACACAGTGGCTCGAGGCCCTTCAGGGAGTCTAATATTTGTTAATAGGCCCCCCCGCATGCTGGCTTGTTCACGAGCACTTCGAGCGTTTCCTCATCGGTGCCGACCCCCGCAACACCAACCTTCTTTTCGAGCAAATGTACCGAGCCTCCATGTTCTATGGTCGTAAGGGTCTCCCTATTGCCATCATCTCAGTTATCGATCTCGCCCTGTGGGATTTGATTGGAAAGGTGCGCAATGAACCCGTGTACCGTCTCATTGGTGGTGCTACCAAGGAGCGCCTCGACTTCTACTGCACTGGCCCTGAGCCTACAGCTGCCAAGTCCATGGGTTTCTGGGGAGCCAAGGTTCCTCTGCCTTTCTGCCCTGACGATGGCCATGAGGGTCTGCGAAAGAACGTCGAGTTCTTGCGAAAGCACCGTGAAGCTGTTGGCCCCGATTTCCCCATCATGGTTGACTGCTACATGAGTCTTAACGTCACGTACACAATCGAGCTTGTCAAGGCTTGTCTCGATCTCAACATCAACTGGTGGGAGGAATGCCTGTCCCCTGATGACACCGATGGCTTTGCACTCATCAAGCGGGCCCATCCGACTGTCAAGTTCACAACTGGTGAGCACGAGTACTCACGATATGGTTTCCGTAAACTCGTTGAGGGCCGCAACCTCGATATCATTCAGCCTGATGTTATGTGGCTTGGCGGTCTAACTGAACTTCTGAAGGTCGCTGCTTTGGCTGCCGCCTACGATATTCCGGTTGTTCCCCACGCGAGCGGACCTTACAGCTACCACTTCCAGATCTCCCAGCCCAACACCCCCTTCCAGGAGTATTTGGCCAACTCTCCCGACGGCCGCAGCGTGTTGCCTGTGTTTGGAGACCTCTTTACCGACGAGCCCATCCCCACGAAGGGCTTCCTTACCACCGCTGACCTGGACAAGCCCGGTTTCGGCTTAACCATCAACCCAGCTGCTAGAGCCAAGCTCATCCCCAGTGATTATCTGTTCAAGGTGCCTCAAGTGCCATCTCTGGCGCCTTCTAAGGAAAGTGAGAGTAAGTCAAGCGAGGAATCCGGCAAACCCAACGGAACGATTGAGGCTCTCACTGCCAAGGTCGAGAACCTTGCAACATCAACTACTTCCTAAAAGCGATTGCCATACTATCATATCGCAGGCCTGGATTTGTGGCTGTGTTTATGTTTTTGCGGCTGCATGAGTAGATCTATTGAAAGGAAGAAAACTGTCCATCGCTATGGTGGTGTTATTACTTGGATATAGATGACATTTGGCAATTTGCATGGTTCTCCATTGCGTTTTTAGACGTTTCAAATAAAATAGATTGAACACAATTCGAGTCTTTACTTGATATAGATTTGATAACAGGCTTTGCATGCTTCTGTGATCATTTTATATGTAGTGAACCATTGCAAGGAAACAACAGCTTCTCGTCATGCGGAGGCCAGCGATGTCAATGATCGACCAAAATGAAACTTCAATAATTAACGAGTCGCATGATGACCCAGAGGAGCATACACGATCTTGATGAACGGCCACACTCCACTTGAGAGGTGTGTACACGCCCCACGATACAAGGATAGATGCGACATTGAGGTGGCCGACACTTGATCGTGAGATCCTTTCTTGGGGAGTCAAACGGTGACCGTTAGGCTTTCAACGCCACCTCGAGACGGTGGCCGTTCTGAAAACCCACAATGGAAGCCTCACGATACTGAACGGCCAGTGCTTACCCCAGGCCCCAGTAAAGAGCCGTTGGCCTGAGCTTTCGGGGATATGTGGGCACTGGTACCGCAGAGGTAATCACATACATGTAGTAGATGTCATTATGTATCAGACTCACGATACCAGTTTTGTCTTCAGTTGGTGTTTGGGTTCTGTCTCATGGCATCCACCAAAATGAGATTGTACTGTGGAAAACGGCGCCAGAACCCCCCCCCCTCATTCTCAATTCTTGGCCAAGGATTTCAGCAGCATTTCTCCCATTTTAGTTGGGGTTCCCACCGGCATCTCGCGTTAAAGCATACCGAGATGGCAACAAGATCCATCATGTCGAAGAAATCTAGTTCACTGATTGACCCCTCGCTGGCCCCAGTCTACCGAGGCTTTCTCTTGCAAAGTTCTAGATCTAGCAATGTGGACTCGGGCTCGGTGTGAAAACTCACCCGGAAGTAAAGAAGCCTACATATTTCTTTCGATACTTGTCCCACCATTTGCGCGGGTCTTGATTGCTAACCACCAAAGGAAGAGGGTCGCAAGAAAAGGTGGGAGAGTTCGGTACTATTAAGAGCCGTTTCCCGTAAATGAGGGGAAGAAAAATAGTAACCATCGGTTTAGAAATTCATGAATGCTTCGCCGTTCAAGCAAATCCCTTGACAGAGTTACCATTCACATAAAATCAAGTCCCATCACAAGTTCCATCATAGCTTCACTATCTTCGCTTTCAACGCCCCTAACGTTCACATATCGGTCACTCATCCTCGGTATTCCTTCGACCGAACGACGCAAGATAGCAGACAGAGGATAAGGCAAAAAATTGCAATCCAGACCGAACACTTCCGTTTTCGTGACAACATCAACAACAGATATTCACAGGGTATTGCCCACTCAGATAAGCAATCATGTTGATGCCAGCGGGTCTTCTCGCCAATAAGAGTGCTATCATCACAGGCGGCACAACTGGCATTGGCCGTGCCATCTGTCTCGAATATCTACGACAAGGGGCGAATGTTGTAGTTAATCATCTAGGCCTCGAGAAGGATAAGCCTCATCTCGACTCTCTCATCGCTGAGGCCGACGCCATTCGCAAAGCATCATCCACAGCTGGCCTTCTCGATCATCAACCAGGCGACGTTCGCGATCCGGCGACAGCCACAGAACTGGTCAAGAAGGCCGTCGAGCACTCTCCCAAGAGGCGGCTTGACGTGTGTGTGTCAAACGCTGGTATTTGCACATTTGCCGATTTCTTGACGCTCGAGCCGGACCTTCTGTATTCAACAGTGAGAACAAACTTGGATGGTGCATTTTACATTACCCAAGCCGCTGCCAGGCAGATGGCCCTCAACCAGGAACCTAAGGGAGGGAGTATCATAGGAGTTTCCTCCATCTCGGCTCTTGTCGGAGGTGGCCAGCAGACACATTACACTCCTACCAAAGCTGGAGTTCTAAGTTTGATGCAGAGCACAGCATGCGCATTGGGAGAACATAACATTCGGTGTAATGCTCTTCTCCCTGGGACCATCCGCACGCAGCTGAACGATGCCGACCTGGCTGATGATGCGAAGAGAACCTACATGGAAGGTCGTATCCCTCTAGGAAGGACAGGCTCACCCTCTGATATGGCTGGTCCGGCTGTCTTCCTGGCTTGTCCAGAGTTGAGCGGATACGTGACGGGCGCACAGCTTCTCGTTGACGGCGGACTCTTCGTCAACCTTCAGTGAAGGAGAGAAGATTAAGCTCGTGGGGAGAAATGGGGATATGGAGAAGTGGAGACGCGGAGGCGAAGCGCTACATCGAGACGATATCGAAACCTGGAGATATTATTAACAGAACAAGGGTTTTCCGTGGAGACGAGTCCATGTTGGTCTTGTGGAGAAATTCCTTCTTGAGTCGCGGAACACATTGACTCATGGAGTAGGCATGTAGATGTTTTGTCACAAAAGTATTGGATATCAGAGCTGTGTTCATCCGTGCGACTGGATACCCGGAGCCCCAGGGCGGTGCTATCGAACACGGGGTCGCGGTGTCGGGCTTGAACAGCGCCCGCCGGTGGCTTTAGTTTTCGTTCCATTGAGTAGGATATATACGAAGGATCGATCCATGCCTGATATGGAAATGCTTGAGTACTTTGGCACGTTTGACGGAAAGAAACGCAAGTGACAGGAGACACATTTACTGTATTGGACTGGAAGTACGGAGTAGATCAAAGCCAATCCGCATAGCGCGGCTTTTCCTTGCCAGGCATATGAAAGGATATTACTGTTGATCTCCTGCACCGTGTCCGTTCTGTGACACCCAATTACTCAAGGTTATCGTTGTTCTCACCCTCCATCACAAACCAAGGAAACGTGAGATATATCCCGTCAGATTCAAAACGGACTGAACGGTAGGCGGGAGGTTTCACCACAACGAGGAAGTGATAAGCAGGAGGTTACTAGGATGTAAGGACGGGAGTCGACCGAAGCTGTATACTGTACTTTGGCCAAGACTAAGTTTTGTACATCCCTGTTGGTAGCAAGTACACACCAGTGGCTTGGGTTTGTAGACGACAGCCAAATTAATTGCCGCTATTTCTGCAAAATTTGAACTCTGTTTTGACAGTTCTTGTTTCTAGAACTTCTGCAGAGAATACTATGTACAGTGACATCAGGGACAGCTGTCAAAGGAGAGGAAATCCTAACACCAGAAAAACATCGATTCTGGTTTGGTATATTGTTGCTCTTTTACGATACCGTCAAAGTGCACCGTAATACTCAACTCACAATCTACACAGCACTGTACTATTCTCCACAGTGTTTCCCCCTCATTATTAGTTTTCGTCCAACCTTGTGCTCCGTTAATCAACCACAAGGATGATGCAAGGAAGGGTTGTACGTATTAATCGCGCGCATGCCCCGCGTCGGCGCGGACGTTTGATCGAGACATCCTGACATTTGAAGGAGACGGACGCCAAGCACTATGATCCATGATCCCAGCAATAGAATTTCCTCAAGGTACATAGTTTAGGAAGCCGCCAAGGGATATATGATGGCCCAACGAGGTGGTATTTCTTTTACAGCGTGAATGGGAGGGCAAGCAGATAACAAGGCCGACAGATGCATGCCTGAGTTTGATGGAATAGGAGTGTTCTGTATGACAGAAAAGCGGTAGAGCACAGTCCAATGACGACGATGACTACCGTATCAAAAGATGACAGTAAAGGCTGAGCTGAGCCGAGCCAAGACCAGCCAAGCCAAGCTCGGTTGGACTGATGTGGCAGGCCGGTCAGTGACTTGCAGCCAGCCAACAACAACAAACCATTCAAGCCCATGGACGAACCGAACCCTTCAGCGCCGAAGGACCCTGTGCAGTAGACTTGTGCTCCCTGCCTATGCAGATCTGATCCCGATAGGGGTGATAAGGGCTATCTTGGGGACCGCGTTTCACATGCTTTCAGGGACAGATCTTGTATTGGATGGTCTGTGTTGCAGATAGATGCGATGCCTGTGCAACCATGATCTCTCCTGTTACGATATGAGCATGTCACGTCACTCGTTGCAATTGCGTTATTTCTTCCATGTCTCTTGCTCATTTCCAAGATCGCAACACGACTGTCGATTGCTGGACAAGGTGACACTTGTGAGACGGGTTTGGCATGAATAATCATTTGGTGATGGCGCCCAGCCGAAGGTGGCCGTCTAGGCCACGGGTGGATAACGGTGTCCCCTGGTGGGGCCGGACGGCATGGCTGATAGGGCTGCGGACCGGACTTGAGGGGCACGAGCGGACCCTGAGCGGAGCTGGCTTGACGTCACATAAAACAACGGACCGAAACTGTGCGCGCAAAAAAGAACGAAACCGGGACCAGATTTGCAAAGCATCGACGTAGCGACTCTTGATTCCGTGGTATTGGTCGGGATACAGTGGAGGTGTAGAGCATCTTTGCGTGCATTTCTACCGTTGCCAATGCCTCTTCCTCCTGACGGTGACCGTATTGGCGTCATGGATGAGCTGCTTGACGGTGGATACTATCACCATTCAATCCGGTTTATCTGGCGGAACTGGCGCTTGATGTCGTCGACCTTGCATTAATTCTCACGCCGAGAAATGAGCCCTGTAGGCTTGAGTTTGCGCCCGAGCCCTTGAAAAACGAACGTCCCTGAAGAGAGACAGAGAGACAAGAGCAGAGTCACTGCGTTGTGAAGCCATCTGCAAGCCTCCCTGCAATAAGTGACGCTCCCTGGCATGTCTGTCTGACTGGCTGAAAATGGCCGACACTGAGACCCTGATTGGAGCTACGAACCGTAAGAGGGAGCCTCAGGGTCCACACCAGAGAAAGAAATCTTTTCTGCAGCACATCTTTGTATCAGACGGTACGGTGGTACACCGTTTTATTCGGTGAGCTTTTGTTATCTGTCGCGATTCAGGGCAGCCAGATTAGAAAACCAGAATCAATTGGCGATCCCATGCCGTGTCCTACGTCTGACAGGACGGATCATTGTTTGTTTGTACAGTCGAGCATCGGTGGCACCGTGTTACTAAACAGTCAGATATCATGAGTGCTTAGTCTATGCCATGTATCACTGATTGATCCATGACCATTGATCCATGACCATGTATGTTGTTGCTTTTAAGAGAATGAGCTCCATTTGCGTTATTTACAGCCTCCACTGTTGGTTGACAAGTGGGAACGAGGCATGTCTCGTATCTCACGGACCTACGTATGTACATGTTCAGATATTGTATGTACTTGTTTCCCTCCCCGTCCCCGTCCCCGTCCCCGTTGCCGTGCCTGGCTGGCTGGCAGGCAATGACGTTTAAAGAACACGAACTGAAGTTGAGAATGGGGTTGTTTTAGTGCGGCGACGGCGTCTAAGAAATGGAACCCAGGTACAGATGCAGACAGCAAAAAACATCTGTGACAGCCCGCCCCAGCCGCGGGTAGAGAGACAGCAGGTTATCAAAGGCCAGCGTAGCCAATACCACGGTTCCCTGTACATGGTAGCAGTGAACGATGGGTACCGAGTACCCCACCTGTCTTACTCTGGCAGGTACCTTTCTCGCTCAGACCCGAAAAGCAACACCGTCATCGCCCATCGCATCCTGTCCCTTACCTCATACTGTACCTTAAAGTTTTTCTATTGTAACCGAAACAATGCCTCACAAGAGATACGGTGGAACTTTTATTGTGGGTAAGGGGGAATCGTCCATGGCTTGCCACGGTTTCGATTGACAGTGACTGACTCGGTTATTGGACCCCGAGCTACGTATCGACGGGCGTCCACCGAGATGCCATGGATATTGATTTCGATTCGATATCGATCAGAGCCACGGCCAAGATGACGCCTTGTTTGGACATTGTATCCTCAGGAATCTTACGTACTTGCCAGTTACTCTCCGCTTGTCATCTAAATCTATAAAGCCCCAGATTTCTCCCACCGTTCTTGACGGTAGAACTCATCAGTCTCCATCATTCCCCAGATTCCATATCCACTATCATCAACAACCATCAAACACACAAATAGCTCGACACTCCCCGAGTCATTTTTCAATAATCCCTTATTTGACATCATTGCCTGAAGCACTCTACCGATACCTCAACTTTACGCGTCTTGATTGTTACGCGTGCGCCTGAACAGGACCATATCCATTCTTAGCAACATCATCACCATGTCTTCACAACAGACCGAGTTCTTCAAGGACAACCTCCCCGCTCAGCGTGAGGTCACCACCCCCGACTCTGTCCCCAGTTCTCCTGAGCTCGGAAGCTCCAGCTCAAGTGACAGCATCGCCAGTCTCGGGTCTCCCGCCTCTCCCATCTCCCCTCCCATCTCGCAGCCTGTTGCCGACTCGTTCGTCTTCGCTTTCGACATCGATGGTGTCTTGGTCCGTGGTGGACGAGCTATTCCTGAGGCCATCCAGGCCATGAAGGTTCTCAACGGCGAGAATGAGTATGGCATTCAAGTGTAAGTCGATTCCTCCACAATATGCAGTCACGATCCACCAACCCCGGATTTATTCTGGGGAGGTCCACTTAATAAACGGCATCGTGACTTTTCCCCTGGCGTTGAACCATACAATCAATACTGACACCCCTCTTAGGCCTCATATCTTCCTCACCAATGGTGGTGGTAAGACTGAAGAGGAGCGATGTGGCGATCTCTCAGGTCAGCTCAAGTGCGACATCAAGCCTGGCCAGTTCATCTGCGGCCACACTCCCATGAGGGAGATGGCTGAGAAGTATGGCACCGTGCTTGTCGTCGGTGGTGAGGGCGAGAAGTGCCGACATGTTGCTGAGGGCTATGGCTTTAAGGATGTTGTCACACCTGGCGACATTATCAAGCACAACGCCGCTACCACCCCCTTCCGCAAGCTTACCGCTGAGGAGCATGCCAACTCCCGTGAGCGAGACTTCTCCGATGTTGTCATTGACGCTGTCTTTGTCTTCGCCGACTCTCGCGATTGGGCTGGAGATATTCAGATCATGCTCGACGTGGCTATGTCAAAGGGTGGCCGTTTGGGTACTCGCAGTGAGACCAACGACGAGGGTCCCCCCTTCTACTTCTCTCACAACGATGTTGTCTGGTCTGCTGCGCACGAGCATGTCCGTCTAGGTATGGGAGCCCTTCGCCGCATGTTCGAAGTTACCTTCAAGGATCTCACTGGCGGTAACGGCGTTCTACACACCCACGCCTTTGGAAAGCCTCAAGTTTCTACCTTTGAGTTTGCCTCCCGTCTGATGGGCCAGTGGCGTCAGACTGAGCATGGTCTTGTTGCTCCTCCTGAGACTGTTTACTTTGTCGGTGACACTCCTGAGAGTGATATTCGAGGTACCAACGCCGTGAACAAGGTTGCCGACAATGATTGGTACAGCATTCTCGTCAAGACCGGTGTCTACCAGGAGGGTACTGAACCTGCCTATAAGCCTCGAGTTACTGTTGAGAATGTTCTTGATGCTGTTAACCACGGCATCAAGCGTGAGATGGAGAAGAAGGCGTCAAAGGGCCAGATGTCCAAGCCTACCCTTATCCCTGAGTCCGGCATCACAGAGATTGCTGTCGACATGGATGGTATCACCATCTAATCCGATTCGCACTCTTCACTTCAAACATTACATTTTGAGTTACCGACTTTTCTTTTTTGCCTTTGGCTTCTGACGGAGTTTGGGGTACATTTCCTTTATTACAGCTATGCATTACGAACAATACTTTACACAAGCAACTGCATAACGGCTCCTTGCAGGTGTCATGAGCACAATATATATAAGTCCTGAAGAACGGATAGAAACAAGAAGTATCTAAATAGACGGATTGGTTCTGGTTTCAGGGCTTTACGTCATATCTAGCTAGATTCTTACACCCTCTGATGCACCACCCTACTATACCCTGATGAGCATCACATCAAATCCTATAGAACAGCAAAAGATAGCAAAAAAATCAAGACTCTTACAATATCTTCAGGCAGTATGTTACGAAGTGACTAATTATATAAACCACCGCAAAAGCGTCCTGACTTAACTTAGCCTATTGAACTATAGTCGTGGGTTGAAACAAATCACATCGCAACCATTCAGAACAAGAGCACACAATCCATCCAGAGGTGTATTGAGCGATGGAATATGGTGCGACTCCCGCTCCCCCATCTTAACAAACATCGGCGCCTTGTTCGGCATATCCATTGGACCACTCCGCTGACTTGTTTAGCAACTCGTGTTCGGCAGGACGTCGACTCATGCCCATATTCAAAGTGCCTCTACCGGCGTCACAATGGGGTCTGATCTGTTCTCCAGTCAATCTCCACGTGGATGGCTCGCCTGTAACTGATAGCTGTACTGTTCAATATCAACGCGAATATGAGTCTGAAGCAGCTAATTCTTCGGCAACCCAAACTTAGAGTGATTCAGTCTCGGGCGCTCTCATCTCACTCGCCAATATCCAAGGGTTGCTCTGGGTTCGCATCCACTCTCAACACTTTCTCATCAGCCTCCCTGAATACGAAACCTCCCCACTGCGAGGTAGCAACCCAGCCAGCTGCATCAACCATATCTTGTCTCTGCCTCTTCTGGTCCAAAGCTTCCTCTGCGCTGATACCCGGTGCAAATCCACGGACGTTCTCGCGATCAACACGTAGCCATCCCTTCCAGCCTGTTGTGATATCGCCAGCTCCAACACCACCCACAATGATAGTCCCCCACCATTCGCGACCGGCACTCGCCTTTGTGGCACTTCCATAGAGAAGAATACCCTCTGCTTCGGCTACGAGAGCACGAGTATTGTCTGGGTCATTTCGTGCTGGGCGGTAGATGTAGGCATGTTGCAAATGATATGGCGAACATGTCAGGCGCGTGGCATCAAACCGACCTTCAATATCGATGACCAGAATGGCGTAAAGGTGAGGAGGGGTGATGAGGTTTGATATGAGCCTGTATAGTAGTGGCAGATGACGACCAGATATGCCAAGACCAGCAGATTTTGTGGCATTAAAGTGAACTGCTGTAATATCATCAAGTTCTGATACATACGTAAGTTTGTTTGGCAGGATTTGAGGTTGATGCTGGACCTGATCCCGAATGCTCGAGCAATTGGGATCTGGAGGGAGTGAAGAGCGTATGTTTCGAAGGACCTGCGTTGATAGTTTAGTAAGTCTTTAAGTTTGATAAGTAAAAGTCTGAAGGTCGCTCGAAAATGTAAGCCTTTGTAGTGGACTTGGATCAAAAGTGATGTTGACTTCATTCTTTCGTTGGCTCAAGGGTAGGCCACGCCAGCTCATAAGGTCCTTGACACGTGACGCGGAAAGGTATTTCGAGGGATTTGCTGTGATTAAATGAAAGTGAAACAAAGTCAAAAGAAGCCATGGCAGTTTGGTGGACTTCTCAAGACAATATCCCGACATATCTAGTCGTGATGTGCTGAATGCTTGTGTCCAATAGGCAAGAAGCTTTGGCCCAAAATCTCGAGTTCAACTTACGTCTTCAAGGCTCATCTCAACAACCTCACCCAATAACCGGCTCCCCGTTGCTGTCTCCATTCTGAGACCCCGGAAGCTGAACTTGATAGGGGCCTTTTTACTTGGATGCTGATCGTTTAGTACGGTCTTCGGTGTTTTTGGCAATGGGCTATCCGTGCCAAGTCTTTCACGCTTCAGAGCTTCCTGAGCGCGTGCAGACCAACCTAGGCGGCCGGAAGCGCAAATTGGATAAAGGGTCCAATAATGTCGAGCTCTCTGGATGCGAACTTGTCGAGATGCTGCAGTATAAGTGCGAAATCAAAGAGCCCGTCAAGCCGGATAGTCCTGTACAATGCTTTGCGATTGAGCGATTGTTCCGGAAGTAAGTTCTCCCCCACCTGATCCTACAATGGCGCCCCAAACATAGCTGTACCGTATCACAAATGTTCTGACGTGAGGTATTCGCTGGTATAGATGTAGAGATAAAAAGGGCTCTTTTATGGTCGAAACGACGGCTTGGGAGGGCAAAGAGTATCCTCCGGCGGGGCAGAGAAGCGATGACGGAAAACACAACAGAGACAGGGCATCTCCTCAGCACTATCACTGGTCGTCAAGTTGGCACGCGCCAGACGCAGCACGATGAACCAGACCATCGATTTTATACCAACCCAGGGCAACTTGCTATTGTCTCCGAAAATCACATATAGCATGCTTACTTCTCAAGGGAGACTCTGATTCTCTTGTGAAACTCAAACGTAATTGTTAGCCTCAGCCAAGCAGAGCATGCATCCCCGTCGTGCGTACGACCGACCCAGGTACAGAACAAGAAACAGTGCAGCCTTCAAATAATGCCGATTCTACGATAGTGACGTGAGGTTGAATATCAGAGCGCTGAGTCACCCACAGGGCTGCAACAAGTTGATGACGGCATTGCCGGAATGGGCCGAGGTGCTCAGCAAACATTGTTATCGAACCATGAGTTTACACAATCAGGACAAACTTTTACTCTTTGCTAGATTTCAGGATGAGATATGAAACAAAATGGCTCCTATCGACCAATAATTGATGAATGAATCTCTAATTATGATTCGGCCACACAGGGCTGCACTGTCGATCCCAGATATACTCTCGGCCTCACGAATTGCATTTTGATAGCTCGGTTGCCCTTGCCCGTGAATATGGAATGCACGAAGACCGTTTCAAATGAAGCGTTGGTGGTATTCTCTTCTCTACCCAGCTACACGACAAACGAAACATCGGCAAGCCGCCCGAACGTATCTATGTGCACTCCCATCTCTCATTGCCCTTGCTTGAATGACAAAGTGTTGTTTCGGTCCGTTGATTCTTTTACTCGTTCTTCTGGGCAGCTCGCTCCTCTTCGAGCTTGATGTAGTAGTTGTCGCGGGCGTTGGTTCGGGGCATGTGGAAGCCGTACCTGGTTCGGAGGGGTGAGCATATACTCTCAGTGTCGTGTCGTTTCGTCGGCAGTATTGCTTACCAGAAGAAGTTGGCCATGACGAAGCCGGAGCCTACGAGATCGCTAGTCAGCTAGGTGTACTTCAACCAACCACATCATTTGAATCGTCAGCCCCTCGAAGAACCCTCCTCTCGAAATATGTGATTGCCAATTCATGTAATCCGAATCAATCCGTCACAGAAATCGACGTACCGAGGGCGATGCTGAGGTCCAGGACGAGGTTTCGTCGGAGCATCTAGCGCAGTTGTCAGCCCACGAAAAGCTCTGGTACCGGGAGGCTCAGGCTCCTCTGGCCCGGTGGAGTGCGAAAAGCGAGCCATTGAGTCGAAGGAAACATACACCGGTGATGGGTCGGACGGCCATTGTGACTAGTTTACTTTTGCGAAGCTGTTCGGGCGAAGGAGCGAGGCTTTCGAGAAAGTATAGAGGTGCTGGGGAGTTTCGATGTGGTCAAGCAGTTCCAAGTTGATTCCGAAGATGGGCTGATGTTTATCGCGCTAACACCCGAGTCACGTGCACGTCATTCGGTTGAACAACGGCGAATCATGCCGAAAAGAATCTCGCCCATTGAAACCACCTTCAGTTGGAAGATAACATCAGGTAGACAGTGGTCGGTTTGCAGAACCCGACGATATCTGCTACCATGAGTCTCCGATTTGCCGTGCGGCGGCTGGCAGTATCAGGTACGGCAGCGCTCAGTCCGCCTTTGCAACTCAATTGGCCCAGAAGCTACACGGGACTAATCAAGAGCTTTTCACTATAGCAAGGACCGCACACCCTATATCTAGTACACCAGCTCCTGTTTTCTCTGCTACTGTCGGGCCCTCAATACAACGACGGCATAAATGGGCTTCCAATCTCTTCAAAGGATGGGGCAAACCCCGGAATAAAGACGCTGGAGCTTCACCCGCACAGGACCCTACATCTCTGCTCGACGACCCAAAGAGCCGCGAAGAATATCTACAGAAGAGCATGTACAGCGGTGTGGAGGACAACATTTTCCAGGACGAGATCGAAAAAGTCAGTACCGACACCACCCCGGGTGCTCCCGAGATCGAGCAAAAGACGAAAGAGAACATGGCCATGGTTGTGGACCCCGATCCCCGAAGTCGAGTGCGCTGGCAGCGCAAGAAGGTTATTCAGATGGTTCGCCGCAACGGCCGTCTGACAAGAGACGAGCGCATTCAGATGTCAGAGCGCCAACTTCTGCACAAGAGCGAGTTCATGCCCACAAGTGTCAAGAAACTCGTAATGCTGGCACGTCAGATCGCAGGAAAGAGTGTCGACGACGCCATTGTGCAGATGAAGTGGTCCAAGAAGAAGATGACGGCCGAAATTGGATATTACCTTGAGGAGGCTCGAGATTTGGCTATTGCACAGCGTGGTATGGGGCTCGGAAAAGTTAACAATGAGGTTTTGACAACTCCCAAGAAGATCCAAACAGTCGATGGGAAATGGATTGAGATTGAGGACCCGACGCGAATGTATATCGCTCAATCGTGGGTTGGGAGGGGCCCCTGGCGAGGAAAGAGAATCGATTACAAGGGTCGTGGACGAATGGGCATCATCAGACATCCTAGCACAAGTATGCCCGCATTGGTTACATATCTGGTTTTGGAATCGCTAACCCATCTCTAGGTCTAACGGTGTTGCTCAAGGAAGAAAAGACAAGAATACGAGAATACGAGGAGCGTGTGGAAAAGAAGAATAAGAAGGGACCCTGGGTGCATCTCCCCAACCGACCAGTATATGGACAGAGGCCATATTACTCGTGGTAAAGCCACGACTGTCCTCCAAAAATGAAGTTCAAAAAAAAGAGACGGAGTCTTCAGGCGTTGCCAGAGGCCACCATGTAATTTCTCATAGAAACTTGTAAGATATGTACAGTGAAGTGTACACTTGACAGAGATTGAAGTTTACGCTCCAGTGCTAGGTTGATTTACTTGATGTGGTATATTGGCTCTCGCCTTATGTTCATAAAATAATCGTCCGACGTTGAGTTGGCTCAAACCTTGTTGTCACATATGATTAACAAATCCATCAACATCAGCCCTTCGCGGGTGAAACCATACCGCTTCATAAAGCGATATGTATTGGCGACTCGCCGAATGGCCAATATTGGATTACAATCAGACATGCTCTATGCAGTGATGTTATGCAGTGATTAATATAGTGCGCATGCGATTGTCATCTGCCATATATTGATTCTGCTGTGCCCCGTTTTAAACGCCGATGTCTCCCACAAGTTGTCTTTGCTCAAACCATGTGTCGCGGTTCCTCGCGAGGAAGCATATCCTCATATCGATGGGACATTATTTCAAGGTCATATCCATTCTTCTCGCCAATGGACCCTTGGTCGGGTAAAGGATAACTGCGGTCCCTGGTAGCCATAGGCGGTGACATGCTTGCCATGTTTCCACGAGGGAGATCGCGCTGGTTTTGACGTTTCTTCCAGAAGAAGAAACCTGCGATGCCGATAAGTGCGAGGATACCAATAGTAACTCCAATACCAACACCGGCCTTTGCCGCGCCAGACATGCCGCTGGAAGATTCTTCCTTCTTGTCTGAGTCGTCGTCTGAAGAGTCAGAGGTAGCTGCAGCACCAGCCGCCTCGGAGGCTGTCGATGAGCTGGCGGCATCGGTGGAGGAAGCAGAGGACTCAGATCCTGTGGCCTGTCAATGTTTAGTATTCAGTTTCCTTCGACGCTTGATTTAACAGCCTCCTTACCGTGGCTTCGACGGCCCCGGCAGTTTCAGACGTGGAAGCCACATCGATAACACCAGTCGAAGTGGCTTCGGGTGCCTCTGAAGTTACCGGGGGCACAGCAGAGCTTGATGCAGCATCAGAGGTATCAGCCGCGGCAGGGGTTTCCGATGTTACTGCCGCTACTTTGGACGAAGTTGCTACAGCTGCTGCAGATGTTGTCGCTGCGCCTGACGCCGACGTTGCAGCAGCTTCTGGAAGGGCAGGGAGTTGCTGACCTAAGCCTTGTGAGCTTTCGCTACTTCATGTAAGATACTATTGAATCCTGGCAACATACCCACACAAAACCCGTTGCTCAAAAAGCTGGTAATATCGGCGTCTGCAGCATTGCATGAAGGCGCCCTTGCGCACTCAGCCACACCCTTGATAAAGCTGGGGCTAACACAAATACAACCGGCCTGGGTGGCATCTGCGCAGCCCACAGTTGGCTTAACTGATTCAACACATGTGTTCTGGAAGCCATCAGCACCTGTTTCGAGTGAATGCATAGTGATTAAGCGCTAGTCACTTACGATGCAGTCCTGAGCATAGACACCGAGAGTCTGTAGGGCGCCCAGCGCCACGAGAGTTGAAAGAGAAAAGCGCATGTCGGAGGAAGTATGCGGCGAGATAAAACCTCGCTACTTTGATAGATCGTTAGTAGCCAGAGGTGAACCAAGTCTGAAGTTCAAGACAGGCTGGCTGGATAAAGAATTGAGTGTGAGAAGTGGTGGCAGGTGCGGTCACAAGGATGAATCGTGATAATGGTGGCTCCAAACTTGCGATAAGAACGATAAAATGCCGCAGGTAGATCCAGGAACAATCCCTCAGGTGAATCGGAAAAGAAATCTTGAAATAGAAATGAGAGACGAGTCGGGCAATGTCGTACAATGTAACAGAAGTGGCTTGGTCCAAGGTGGCACTCGATGCAGCAGATGGAGGGTCCCCGAGAAGAATACGAGTGAATGAAGGCCCAGGTTACGGATTCGTTGTCGTCGGTTTAGCCCAGAATGAGCAATTCGAAAGGAAGGTGGAAAAGAACAATAAGGTAAGGTAAGAAAAGAAGAATACGAAGAATCGACCACAAGGAATGACTAGATGGTGAGATAACGAGGGACACTTGAGAGAGTGAAAGAGCCCAACGCGCAAAGGTGGTCGTGAGAAGTCGAGTCGAGGATGAGGATGAGGTTGAGGTCAGGACAAGACGAAAGCAGAATAGAAACGAAGCCGTTTGAGAACGGAAGAAAGAAAGGTGGGTTCAGGTGACGACAACAGGCAAAGGGAGAGAAAGTAAAGCGTTCAATTGAAATGAGATGAGATGGGACGAAGTAAGGAATGAAGTGGACGGGGAACTGGGAAAAGAACGGGGGACCCGGTAAGATTGCACTGAGGTCAGAAAGAATGTAATGTAAAGGTAGTTAAT